CGGCCACTCTTGCTCATGCTGCTCCTGCTGCTCCTGCCGCTCCTACCTTTGCGACTCCTGCGTCTTCTCCCTTGTCGTCTGGTGGCCCCGTTCTTGCCCATGGCCTGTTCAAAGGCGGCCTTCTCGACTAAGGTGGCCTTCTGAAGCAAGTGAATGGGGGGCGTGGCAACGTTCACTGGAGATGCGCTGTGTCTGCTCAGCTATGCAAACTCGGTTGGCAATAAGCGAATAAAAGGGGGACACAAAAGGGGGCGGAACGAGTTTGCATCTGTAAATCTAATACGGAAGGGTGTCTCGGGGGTATGGTACCTCTGTTTATGTTTACTTTTCTTTTGTTTTTATGTTCACCCCTTTGCTTTCCCGGAATCCCTGTACGGCCTTTCATGTCGAAAACGCTAAAATAAAGCACATGTGTGCTGCCTGTATGGTAGCGCCATAATAGCGAATGCAACCATAAACACAGCACCGCACGTCAATTGTAATAGTCACATTTGACATACGCCCTGGCAAAGTGAACCACGACGCAACAATGCACGAATGCAAAATCTATTTCTGTATTTCCGATTTCCGTATCTCAGTATACACATTCGTGGGTATGATCCACCCGCCCACTCAAAGTCTATCGTTCGTCCTCGCTCCACCTCGCGCCGCGGCGTCCAGCTTACACGTACGAGGTGTAGCCGAGGACCTTGCGGCCCATGCCGTACAAGCCAGCTGTTATGAGAACTTCGTTAGTATGGTTTCGACTGCAAATGTAAACCGTAGACAATCGGAGGAGTGAAACGTACCGCCGACGGTGCCAGCAAGGACAATCGTGTAGGGGACGATCATGATACGGCTGCGTGGGCTCTGTGATCAACATGTTAGCTCGAATTCCAGCCATTCGTGTACGTCTCGAGTACGCTCGTCTCAATCGATCGTTACTGGGCGACTCACAATGTTCCAGATGCGGACGTGCTGGCGGTACGCGGCCTGGTACTCGCGCTGGTGTTGCGGGACCTTGTTCGGGCCGTCGAAGATACTACAGAAGCGTGTTAGAGAGATGTTCCTGTCATCAACGCGACGGTCAAAGCTTCCCAGGTTGTCGCTGTCGTCGCCGCTGCTAGTTGTGGATGCCGCAGCATCATCGAACGTCGTCCGGTTCTATTTCGCGCACGCGGCATCGCAAAGCTGTTCGCGCCCGACAGCGACCCATTGGCAAGCCCCCAGAGCGCTCCATGGTTGTTCTCGTAGTGGGAAAGTGGCTTACCCCATTGTGACGGCTGGAGACAATTGAATTGGACGTAGTTCTTGGATGTAGAGGCGGGCTGTCGTGGTTGACCGTTGTGCGTGCTGCGTGGGAATCTTCGCCAAAGGAGGGTGGTGGTTCGATTCAGCACGAAAGCTTTTGATTTGGCTGTAGGCGTCACCCGAAGACGGGGGAAGTGGGATTGCCGGAAAATTGTCTTTTCCGATTGGCCAGCTGCGTCTTGGTGACTAAGCCGCATGAGTCGGCATTTTCGTTTTAGTGCATGGATGCTCCCTGGTCGTGCCTGCCTTCTTTTAGGTGGTTCCAGGGGACGCGCCTGCTGTATTTTTTCACTAACAGAAGGAAGCACAGTGAGCTCCAAAAATTCCCAAATTAAGATATCGCAGACGTCAATTGACGACGACGAACGCCTCGTGGAGCCTCACTATTGCCACTGTTCAGCACCTCTGACCGCCAACAAAGACCCCTGGCCCCAATGACCGCAACCTGACAGCCGTCTGTCATGGTATCTTATGCGTGTGAAGACCGTCTGCTTGCGCCGCCGCGGCCATAAGCAATGCGCCCAGCGTCTTTGCAGCTGCGGCTCGCGCAACCATCTTGTCTGGCGCTGGCTTCTGCGCTCTTCGGAAGCTCCTGTGGCACATACAGCATAGGTTACGTGCCTGCAGTTACGTCCTGGCCACGGCCGACTTCTCAGAGCTTCCAGGAGCGCATCGGTTTCCGTTTCAACTCGGCCGCTGCATCCCCAGTGCTGGCCCGAAGCAGTACGGACCATGACAGCAGTTACGATATAAGCAACGCGCCGTCGTCATTGCCTGCCTTCCCGGGCCATCTGAAGCTTCGAGGACCCTTTGCATTTGACCGCCAGGACGATGCATTGATCCGCCCACCGACCGCCGCCTCCGTCGGCCGCTGGAACATATCACAACGGCCAGGACAGTTGATGCTCGGCGCACAGCACTACGGAAAATGGCGCGAACTCGTCTTCGACTACGACCGCCTCATGTTTGAGTCCGGCCTGGCTCCTTCGGTAGCAGCATCTGCCGGCAATGTACAGCGGTCTGTCGACCGCCCCGAGAATGCCTCCGACATGAGCCTCTGGAGTGCTATTTTTAACTTTGCACAACGGCGAGGCGACAGTGACGGTGCGCTTGTCGTTTGGCACGAGATTTTCCTGCGACGCCAGCTCTATAAAACAGACGGCGTCGTGGCCAATGCGTTTTGGATGTCCGTCGTCGGAGCGGCTCTGGAATCGCCCGATGCGAGCTTCCTCGAGAGCACGTGGGCCTACGCCGAGTGGATGTACGATACACGCGGCACCCGATGGCCACACTACTACCGCCTGGTTGTCTCGTCATTTCTTGACAGTGGCGACTACGACGCTGCTCTGAAGTGGCACCTGCGTCTCAGCCCACATTTCTCTGTACCAAAGCGGGATTTCTTTGACCTGCTCAAGTCGTACATCACCGATCCTCATCCAGAGCTCCAAGAGACACTCCGATACATCTATGCGACTAGCCGCCATCGCCTACTTTACGACACGATTGTGCCGCTTCTCTGGTCTCACGGCCACTCGGCCCTCGCCCGTGCATGGCGCGAGACGCTCATCCTTCACGACGACCTCCCCGCGTCGAGCTCTTCCCGGCCTTTCTTGCAGTTTGTGGCCGGCTACTACCCAGAAACGGAGCTCGCGCCAAAAGAGCAGTTTCTTGTCAACACACAGCCTTCGCAGTATCTCTCGCCCCAGCCGCCGAAGCCCGCGCCGAAAGCGCCGGATTTGCCGACCAACCTGTTTCATTTAATGAACCGTGTCCACGGCGAGACCTTTGGTATACAGGAAAAGTCGTTCAACGACAAGATCGGCTCAAAGTGGTTTGCCACCAAATGGGTGTCATTGGATACGGCCATCAACATGATCTACAACCTCGGCATCGACGAGATTGGCCCGCTGTCCTTGCAGTCAATAGCCCTGCGCAGCGGCGACCCGGCGAGCGTTCTGCGAAGTCTGGAGCATCTCGAACAGTGCCATATCAGCATTGGCAGCGCCAACTACTCCAAGGCCATCCGCTACCTTGCAAGAGCGGGCGACGCGGCGACGCTGAATGAGCTGCTGCAGTCTTCGCTGCACCCGGCGGTCTTTGACGACATTGTGCTGCAGCGCTCTGTTCTCGGCTCGGCCATGTATACGGGTGACTGGAAGACCCACCGACTCGTGCTTGCTGTGCGCCTCGCTGTGTCGGAAGATGCGTTGGAGACATCGTCAAACAAGCTTCTCATGGCGTGTGTAAGCCAGAAGAAAAAGGGCTCCGTATTGCGTCTATTGGACGAGTTCTCCGCCCGTGGCATGGAGATCACTCCTGCCACCTGGGAGAGTCTGTCGCATTTCATATTGGATGAAGCGCCAGCAAAATTTGATCCCAACGCGCCCCCGGATGTCGACTTTTATGCCGCCTTGTGCCGGCGGCTCTTAGCAATGAGACTACCCGTGGCAACAGAGGCGTGGCAAAATATACTGCTCGTGTACGGGCGACTAGGCCGGCTTGACGACCTCGAAAAGACGGCGCTCGATATTGTGGATCAGTATGTGTCGTTGCAAACAGCAAGGCTGCCGAGAAAGCCGGTGTCCCCGACAGCGTCCTCTGCCCCTCCACCGGCACGATTGCCCTCCACATCGTTTTCGTCCGTCTTGTCTTCGACCGACGAAACGTCCGCATTCAAAGCGAACATCGCCGACGTTCCCGACATTGTCCGGGGCGAAACAGAGAAGCTTGTTGACCTCGGCTACCGCCTGCTGCCACGCGATCTGCCGTGCAACCACCCGCTCCATCCACTGAGTCTCATCTTTAATGAAGAGATTGTCGCATCGATGGTTCGGTGGTACTTTCATCGCAAGACGGCGTATCGGCAAAAGCAGGGCGCCCGTAAGGTCCGGTTGACCAGACCAAAGCCGGCAGCGCCAAAGGGTACAGGCGACACGGTTGTCTCGCCCAAGAAACCTTATATCCCAGCGCCACCAAGCGATGCCACACCCAGCGACTTTTCTCTTGCTGGTGGCATCCGCCTGCTCGCCATGCTGCGCGACCGTGGCGTCGACGTGTCCAAGTCGTGCGTGCGGTCCGAGACGCTGGTGTGCATTGTCGCCCTGTTCGGACCCGAGGCCATGTCGACCCGATACTGGCAGCCGTCGCGCGCCGCGAACCAGCTCAAGCTGGGCGAGGTCAAGGCCTTTTGCGATGCGGCTTGGGCCAGTGATCGGCACGACACAGAGAGCCTCGAAGGTGGCCAAGGGACGGACACGCTGCTTCCCAAGTTCCGGGTGCTCAAGCAAGCGCTGGCAGCTGTCAAACCAGTGGCAGCGTCGTTTGCGGGCAAGCTCACGCGGCCAGGCGACAAAAAGAAGGCATCTCGTGACGCCTTTATGGAAGTCATCTCCAAGAAGTCGCCATCACCGACCGCATAACGGGCAGGCGACTATTACTATCCACATACCACCCCGCACATATGCCCAAAATCTCATACGACACATTGTACAAATTTACTTTAGATACCCCTTATTTCATAATTTTCAAGGAGACGACCATAGAAAATGATAGTGATATACAAACAATGTTGAAGCCTTCCTAAATGTTGCAAAAAATGGAGAAGAAAGAAACCGTAACAACTGTCTACCTGCTCGCTAACTGCAGGGCGTTGTATGTGATTAAAAACAGAAAATGAAACCCGGCCAACAAAGGCGCATTCGTTCAGTTTGTTATAATAATGGCGGCACATCGGGCGATGCCGGTGATGCTGCTTCTCCTGCACCTCCGCGACCTTCTCCGCCACCTCCGCTCCCTCCTCCTCCACCTCCGCCATGCCTCTTGGGCTTGATAATGAGCAAGATGATCATGCCGGCCACAATCAGAATCAATAGCAATATAATCTTGCGCTTGGTCGTTTTCTTCTGGTAGCCCGAGGCCACAACCAGCTCCTTCTCGGCCGCTTTGACGTCCGTGTTCATGTTCTCGACGTTGTAGTCAATGCGGTCCAGCATGGTGCCCTGGTCGATGACCATGTTTTGCAAGTCACGGAACAGGTCGGACAGGTCGATGATGCCCTGCGCAATGTCTTCAATCTCGCGCTCCCGCTGCATAATAACGGCGTCGTTCGACTGTGCTTGCTTTTGCTGCGTTGTCGACTGCTGCAGCGCCCACTGCGAAAAGGAGCGGTCGGCGTCCGACTCCAACAGCGACGGGTCCGCGGCGTAGTTGCTCCCCGATGTGCTGGCACCGCCCACGGGCGTCGATGCCCGGTCCGCGCCGGAGAAGCCCTTTAATTCTGCAAACGTTAGTCTCCAATAAACCAGCGTGGCCGTCGCCCCCTCCAGGCTGCCCCGTTCGCACTCACTCTTGAGATACGCGCTCTGCTTCTTGCGGAAGTTGGCGCTCGCCTCTTGCACACGCGCCGCCAGCGAGATCTGCACGTTCTTGGCCATGGTCTCGTCGGCACGCGACAGCGTTCCCTGGCTCTTGGACTCGCGCACCATCTGGTCCACGCGCTGGATGCAGCCGTGGCAGTCGTGGAACGCGCGCGTAATCGTCTGCGTCAGCCGCTCAATCTCGTTCTCCTCGGCACGCTTCGCCGCCTCGTCCTCGTTGAAACCAGGCAGGACGTGCTTCTGGTGCAGCCGGTCGAGCAGCTGGCTCTGGCGGGCGACGTCGCCGAGGATCTCGGCGACCTCGTCGGAGATGTCGGCCCAGCGCGGCGGCAAGACGTCCATCTCAATGACGGCGTCCCCCGGCGAGCCGCCCAGGTCGTCGGCCTGGTCGTAGAAAGGGTCGGCCGAGAGCAGGCCGCGGCGGTCGTCGTCACCACCCGCGGCGGCGGACGAGCTGGTCGCGAGGCCGCCATAGTATTTTGGTGTCCGTGTCGCCGGGTGGTGTGCATAGGACTGGCGGTAGGATATGTAGCTAGAGCACGGTGGAGAAGAAACTGGTCAGATGCTGCTCACTCTATCAAATGTACTCGGACGATGAGGAGCCAGGGGCTCACAGGTTGGTGCGGTCACGCCACATGGCGGACACGCTGGCGGGATCGTCGCCGCCGCCGCTGCTTGGAACAGGTACAGGAAGACCGCAGAATCGGGACGAGGGCGAACGTGGTCAGCTCGGGCAGCTCGGGCAGCTCGGAGTGGGAAACCGTATGCTCGTTTGTCTGTGGCTGTCTTGAAGAAGCTCGAAAGCTGTTGGGTTCGGAGGCGCAGGTTTGCTGGAACAGTAACGACGTCGCCGAGATAAGGGGCCGTTTGAGTTTTTGACCAGTGTATCCGATACTGGTGCAGCTCGTGAAGTGTACAAGTACGCGGTATGATGACGTGGTCGCGATTCCTCAATTGTTAGTTCTCAATGTCACGATGGTGAGTGTGGGTGCTTGAAAGTCGCTGACGGAATCCGGAAGCAGCTGTGAGGCGCTGGCCAGTAGCGCCGTTGCATGCGACAGCGGCTGCGCTAGCCCAAACCTGCCGAGTCGTCCTTTTTGGGAGAGCACTATTGGGGCGGCCGCTGCACTGGAATCCACTGGAGCCCACTGCGTCAGTTCCTTGTACGCTTCTTCCAACAGGGCGTCAGCACCCACACACCACTGTTTCGGAAGAGGACAACATATGCACCAAACCGAGTTTCCATAGCCTAGTAGCCTACGGAATTCGTTCCTTCTTTTCAGCTCTCCAACGCTAGCCCTGGGATTGGCAGGAGGGAGTGAGCCTAACTGCCATGTTGTTTTTCGGCAAGGCCTAATCCCAGCCAGGAAATTGCTGCAGTGAGCCGCATGCGCCCAGGCTGGGCCTTTATTCGGTTCTAGGCGCAGGATCACAGAGAACAAAACTGGCCAATTGTCAATTCGCAGGCCAGGAACCCCCCAGGCGAACGTAAGAGGCCGCCTTAATTCGTGCTATTCCGTACGAATACATCCTGCCTCAACTCGTTCTGCCCCGCTCTTTCCTAAGCTGGCTCGACCTGGCTCCTGCTCACTGCACAGCGTCAACAAACCACTTTCCCCCCTTTCTCCCCTCCTTTTTTCTGCTGGGGTGCGCCTGCAGCGCAAGAAAACTTCTGCCCTACCACGTCGTACACCGACAATATAATAACAGCCCACCCGCGCGAGGCAACAACGACCGTTCGCCAAGGCTTCAAGCTCTCCCTTCTACACACCAATCCGCCCCAGCACCTCGTTTTCGCTTGACTCTTCGTCGTCACTCTCGACTCCACGCCAAACCGCACACCGTTCGCTTCGTCAAGCCCACACAACACACTTTCGCAATTATGGTTCGTCTCTCCGCGTCCTCGTCTCGTCGCCCTCGTGCTCTGGTCGTCAACTGGGCCCTGCGGCGACGGTCTCGACCGAAACCGCCTCGTATGAGTTTTGGCTCCGATTTTTTCTTTGGACGCCAACTAACGCGCAATGCCAGGCCGAGTCACTTACCGAGGAGCAGGTCTCCGAGTTCAAGGAGGCTTTCTCTCTGTTTGTATGTTCTTCCTGTCCCGGGTCGCCACCCCGTTCGACGCTTGTCTTGAGCTTCGGCACTATCCCGCTCCCGATGCAACGGCGTTTTGCTAACCACTTTTTTTGTTCGGGCTGAATAGGACAAGGACGGCGATGGTTAGTCAAACTTCTCAATGTGCTTTTTCGAATGCGGTCGGCTGGCCGCCGTTTCGTACCGTACGCAAACCCGTATCCTTCAGTCGAACTGACGCTGTTTTTCCCTCTTCCTAGGCCAGATCACCACCAAGGAGCTCGGCACCGTCATGCGCTCGCTCGGCCAGAATCCCTCCGAGTCTGAGCTACAGGACATGATCAACGAGGTCGACGCCGACAACAACGGCACCATTGACTTCCCTGGTACGTTTGACCGTTGAATGTGGCATGATGCGAGGATAAGAGATACGGAGGAATGAAGAGTTCCAAAACACGTGTTTCGGTGGCAATTCGCTGCACTATGACACGGTGATCTGGAGTCGACAATGGCTAACCGTCCACAGAGTTCTTGACCATGATGGCGCGCAAGATGAAGGACACCGACTCCGAGGAGGAGATCCGCGAGGCCTTCAAGGTCTTCGACCGCGATAACAACGGCTTCATCTCGGCTGCTGAGCTGCGCCACGTCATGACGTCGATCGGCGAGAAGCTGACGGACGAGGAGGTCGACGAGATGATCCGTGAGGCCGACCAGGACGGCGACGGCCGGATTGACTGTATGTGTCCTACTTCTCCCCACCACTGTCACCTTTCCCCAGACACACCGCTAACCACGTTCGCTCCCATAGACAACGAGTTCGTCCAGCTCATGATGCAGAAATAAGTTGGGGCCCACCCACGCGTGACGATGAGACGATGAACGGTGGCCATGTTTTGCATGTTTGCAGCAGGATTTTTTGGACTGTCCTTTCCGCCCTCTCCTCCTTTCTCCCTTTAAAAAAAAGGAGACCCAGTTGCTCTTGTTTTGTCTCTTGTTTTCAACTTTCAACTATTCGACCATAGCTGTCATACCGTTTGTGTTGTCCACTTTAACAATAATTGGACGAGGCTGTTACTATTTTTTGGTCCTTCTCAAAGACTATGCGCCAATAGCTGTGTTGTACAATGTCTGTTGCTCTCGTGGTATATTCCGTCTCGCACAACACCGTGTTTGCAGAGTTCCTTGTTGACGACTCTATGAAACAATTCTCCCAAAATGAACAAAGCTATTTGCCCACATGTTACCTTTACCGCACTTTGTGCTCCGCCTTTATTCCCTCCCGCTTGTTACACATACGGGCCGTTCCAACAGCCGACGAGACCGTCACAGGCGAGTACCTGCAACCACCAGCCATTTGCTATTCTCGTAAACAATGAGGCAGGCAAAAACGTGTCACAAACGAGCTGCCCCTAACCATAGCCACATGGCATCCAGCCTGCCAACCAAAGCTCTGGAGTCCGTCTGTTGCCCACCGCAGCTGGCACCCACCCGTATACCTGGAACTCAGGAACAAGATGCAGGACCGAGCGTGGCAGTGCTCTTAGCGTTGGTCGGTCCCCTTTTTATCTGCCTCTGGCCATCTCGATCGATGCTTGACCACAACGCACCCCTCCTCCTTCTCAGCCTTATGGATGGACCTCGAAAGTAATTTTTTTGTTCTTATTAATTTTCAAGATTCCGTGGCATGCATGCATTTCGCCTGTCCCAGGACCTTGGGCAGGTCGTTTGAGACGCCGCAATGTGGGCTAGAAGGGGACTCTACATTAAAAATGTTTAAAAAAAAAAAAAAACTGGTGCGCCCCAATTCACCAATTACCTTCACTTTGTGAAGAGGATTAAGGCATTCATTACCACTGGTTACTGGGAATATTTGGCCAAAATGCGCTTTCCTCCGCAAGTCTACTGCAGATGACCGTCCGTCGTATTGCTCTGTACGAAAAGGAGAGGTCATTTTCGAATGGCCCCGCATTGCGGTCTGGTTGAAGTTTGGCCGTTCCTTCCCCAGAGCCCCTATTATTTTGTCTCAGTGGCCGCCAGTAAGACAAGACACCACCGGCGCGCGCCAGTCGCACCTGCGTGTCCCGCGCAGCTTAATTACCATTTGCAGTCTCCGCTATTGGGTCGCGTTTAGTGTGTCGCTGCAACTCATTTCCTTGTGACATTGGCACCAAAATGCAAGAGCGACCGACTAGGCCCCTATCTTCGACTTCAGGGAAGGAAGGAGGCCATCCACCACACAAAAAGGAGAAGGAGCTCCACATGTCAAGTCCGACACCCTTTAGCGGATCGGAGAAGAAGGGGCATTCAACTTCGTCTCTTCCATTGTCGTATCGTTTTGGTTCTCGTCGTTTTGGCTGTCGTTTTTTGCTCAGTGGCTTTTTGCGCCTGTTGTGTCCAGTTTCCAAAGCAGACATATCCGCTGGCCGATGACGTCGAACGCTCAGACGTGCCGTCTCGAACCCGAACTGTTGCTTTAGACTCTCGGCATCGCGACTTTGCGATATCTTGAAAGCCGACCCGAAGACTTGATCTCTCGCGCTCCATTCCATTCAGTGCGGCGGCCCCGACACAGCACAAACACCATGTTCGGCCCAATGCGCCGCTGGCGCACCTTTGTCATCATCGCCGCGGTATTCGTGGGCGCCTTCTACGTCCTGATGCGCAGAGACCCGGAGATCCTCGACCGCTACAAGCACCAGGGTCCCATCCCCAAAGCACCACCCGTCAAAATCCCGCCGCCACCGCACCATGAGGAGGGCCAAGCCAGCTCCGACTACCTGCGCCTGGAGAAGCTGCCCGACCGCTACCCGGTGACCTCCTTCAAGCAGCTGCCATTGCCCGCTTCGGACGCCGCCGCCGCCGGCCGTCTTGTGCCCGCCATCCAGAAGCCCAAGCCCAAGGAGACCAGCGAGGAGCGCGACGTGCGCAAGGCGCGCCTGGAGGCCGTCAAGGCCAGCTTCCTGCGCAGCTGGGAGGGCTACAAGGAGAACGCGTGGATGGCCGACGAGGTGCAGCCGCTGTCGGCCACGCCGCGCCAGGACTACGAGAAGCTGGGCGGCTGGTCGGCCACGCTCGTCGATACGCTCGACACGCTCTGGATTCTGGGCCTGCGCGACGAGTTCCGCATGGCGGTGCGCGCCTGCGAGGCCATTGACTTTGGCGTCACCGATGCCGACACCGTCCACGTCTTTGAGACGACCATTCGCTATCTGGGCGGCTTCCTGGGTGCCTACGAGATCAGCGGCAAGGCCTACCCGCAGCTGCTGCACAAGGCGACGGAGATTGGCGAGATCCTGCTCGGCGCGTTTGACACGCCCAACCGCCTGCCCATGGGCCGCTGGGACTGGCTCGCGTACGCCCTGGGCGAGATGCAGACGTCGGCGCCCACCAAGATGCTGTCGGCCGAGATTGGCACGCTCTCGCTCGAGTTCACGCGCCTGACCCAGCTGACCGGTGACGTGCGCTTCTACGACGCCGTCCAGCGCATTTCGGACGTGCTCGCCGAGCACCAGCAGCTCACGCGGCTGCCCGGCATGTGGCCCGTCGAGATCGACGCCTCCAAGCCCGCGTTCGACCAGGACAACCTCTTCACCATCAACGGCAAGGCCGACTCGCTCTTTGAGTACCTGCCCAAGCAGTGGCTGCTGCTCGGCGGCGCCCTCGACCAGCCGCGCCAGATGTACGAGAAGTGGCTGCCCGTCGCCAAGAAGCACATCTTCCGCCGCGTCGTCAACGCCTGGAACCTGAAGCTCCTTCTGCCGGGCGAGGCCCGCGTCACGGACGACCCGATGACGGGCAAGGCCATTACCACAACGGCGCGCGGCGAGCACCTTGGCTGCTTTGCGGGCGGCATGGTCGGCCTGGCCGCACGTGCGTTTGGTGGCCCCGACGAGAACGACAACATGGACCTGGCGGCCCAGCTGACCGACGGTTGTGTGTGGTCGTACAACGCGACGGCCACCGGCATTGGCCCAGAAAAGTTCTTCTTTGCGTCCTGTGGAGGCCCGAACGAGCTGCAGACGGGCCTGCGCTGCGTCTACTCGGACGACAAGTGGCGTGCTGCCCTAAAGGAGCACTGGAAGCAAGTCAGGTAAGCAGCGTATTCTGCCCGAAAATGTGCCGGTAATCATACTGTACAAAAATGAACTAACACGGTACCAGCCTGAACGGCGGCGGCGATGGCAACGTGGACGACGGCGTCGAGAACATTATGAAGGAGGGCCGCATTCCTCCGGGCATGCTCGACGTCGACAACCCGCACTACCTGCTGCGGCCGGAGGCCATCGAGTCCATCTTTGTCATGTGGCGCCTGACAGGCGACAAGCAGTGGCAGGAGAAGGCCTGGCGCATGTTCCAGCACGTGGTGCGGCACACCGGTGCGGCGCCGGGCTCCGGCAACGAGGGCCAGGTCGCCGCGGCCGCCGTCGAGGATGTGCTGCGGGGCGACTCCAATGCGCTCATGGATCGCATGGAGAGCTTCTGGCTGGCCGAGACGCTCAAGTACTTTTACCTCGTCTTTGAGGACTTTGACGTTCTCAGCCTCGACGAATGGGTCTTTAACACAGAGGCGCATCCCTTCAAGCGTGCCGTGTTCCCTTCCAAGTAGGGTTTCTTTCTTCTCTTTTCGGCTTCCGACTCGTCTTTACCTTTTGTCTTTCATGCTTCCCTTTTACGTTCTGTACTATCATCTGCTGGGATTTGATTTTGCTGTTCGAACGGTCATCGCATCTCTCTACCGAGATGCTGACACTGGAGTGTACGCATATGGCGTTCTAGGATGGGTCGGATGGCACATGTTGTCACACCAATATAGATAATTGGTTCTTTTTATATTTCAGGTTGCTTCTATAGTCAAAGTCAAACAGTACAGCTAGTCGTTACATCGGCATAACAGAGGCTCAAAACGCTTGCCAACACCGTCCACTAGTCACCCCTCCTGTTGTCCAAATCATTCTTACACGACCATCAGTTCTCTGCCTCAACCCGAGGCCCTATTTCATCTGCCTTTGTGATAAGCTCGTCATGCACCCGCAGATTCTCTGAGGCACTCAGTGCGCGAGCCACTGTGCTCTGGTTCCGGTCGCGCACCAGCTCTCGCAGCGAGTGCACCAGGAACCCCGACGTGACCTCAATGGACCACGAGTCTGGCAGCAGCTGCAGGACGTCCAATACGTCGAACCAGCCAGCGAACCGCCCCAGAAGGGAACCCGTCTGTTCGACGCGGTCACTCACGTCTTCAATGGCCAAAAACTCGACGAGCAGCGTGCGAAACAGCTTGGCCTGCGTCTCGACCGTGGGCGGCAGGCTTTCGCGGCGCTGTGGCAGTTTGTTGCTGGCGGCGCTGCCGACGGTGGCATCGCGGACCTTGTCGTAGAGGCTCGACCCGCCCAGCAAACAATATTTGACGGCAGTGTCATAGTCGCCCAAGCCATGCACGAGCAGTCGCAGCGCGTCTTCGTGGCGGTGCTCGCGGCCGTTGAGGATAATGGTCTCGGGCACCAGCAGACGCTCGGCCGGCTGGTCTGCCGGTAGTGAATCCGCCAGGCGTGCGCGGATGGCGGCCACATCGTACGGATGCGGGCCGCCTAGCAGCTCCAGTAGGCGCAGCCGACTCTGCCACTCCTCGTCACCCGGTACAGCGTTGTCTGCAAGGAACTGGTGGAACGTCGGCTTGGGCGGCTGGAGAGCGCGGTAGGCGCCGTACGACGCGAACATGGTGTCGCGGGCCGCCTTGGAGGACCGCAGGGCGCCCGTGACGACCTCCAGGTAGTAGGAGATCAGCTCGTCGACATATGCCGAGTGACCCTTGGAGAACACAAGGTGCTCGAGGTAGTACCTCACCGCTCCTGGTGCATGCTCGCGCAGGAGCGGCACGACCTGCGTCGGCTCAAACTTGGGTGCTCTGGCCTTGTCATCGGCAAAGATCTGCACGCCCAGCCTGGGGTTTCGGTTGGCGAGCCACAGGCCATACTCTTGCACAAGGGCCTGGTTCGAGACCTTGGACAGATAGTCACGGATGCGGTTCTCGCCGTCCACCAGCTCACCGCCATCATCGCGCTCGCCCTCCACGATCCGCTTCCACGTGGCCAGGACGTCGCCTGCCATTTTGCGGCTCTGGTATAGGCGGCTGAGAACAAAGAGCCGGTGGTGCGACTCGAGTAGCTCGACGGCGCGGTCAAAGCAGTCCACGCCCTTGTCAACTACGTCGTTCAAATCGCCACGGACAGTGTCGGGCTTGACATAAGCAAGGCCCTTGGGAGTGTGCTGGTCGAGCTCGAGCAGGACGGACAGCAGAGCCGCGTCCACGGTCCGGAAAACATCGCTCTCGTCTGCAACACTGCCAAACCCCTTCTTCTTCCGCCATGCAATCAAAAACCGCCGCAGGAATTGAAGCAGTTTCGGGTTGAGGGACGCCACAGTGCCCTGGCCCTTGCCCGTGTTTGCTGCCTCTCGTGCCAAGTAATTTTCGAAAGTATTCTTGACGCCACCAAAAATCCAGATGCCCTTTCGACTCTGGATGATCTCGTTGCGGAGCTCAGGAACCAGGGCGAGGAGAACACGAGGGTCCAGTGCGCTATCCAGTAAAACCTCCTCCAGTGCCTTGAGTTCTGCGTCCGAGAATGCTTCCTGGTCGGTTGCATGAGGGAGGCCCATAAACAAAAGAGCTCCGCCGCGCTGCCGAATATAGCTAAAGGTGACAAACTCGAGCTCCGTTTTGGCATCACGGCCCCGCAGTGACTTTAAGACGGTGAAAAGCTCACGCCTCTCGTCTGCTGTCTCCGGCGCAACCTTGGATTCGGAGGAGGCTGCTTCTAAACCAGCCTCGAGCTGCAGAACCACAGGGTTCCGCATAGCCCACCAGATGCGATCGCCGGACCACACGGCAATGCGGCCAGTCGTCTTGGCAAGGCGCGTAGCAAAGACCACTTCGGCTCGGTTGCGGCTTGCATCTTCCTCCTCGTGGGTCTCTGGGCCGCTGGCGCTTGTGTCGTCTTTCGGCTGCGTCTCTTTCTTTTGATTCTTCTTCTTCTTGTCCTTCTTGGTGGGAGCGGACTTCGGCTCTGGCGCTATTTTCGGCAGAGAGAACCGCTTCTGGGCCAGCCGGTCAACAACTTCACAGACAACCGACTCTTGGCTTCCCACAAGCCTGTGCACACCCACCGGTGTGCCACTCTGCTTCCCGGGCGTCTCGAGCCAGAACTTGCCAACCTCACCCTCACCCACATTAACGTCCCAGCGTTGGACTTCAAGGCCATAGCGGAGGTCATCGTCCGAGCCTTTTGATATTGAGGCAAGAATGTAGCCATCGTCTTCTTCGTCGCCCGGACCACCGCCCCCGGGTGACGGACGTGATGAAGACAGGTCAGAAACGCCGCCGTCCACAACAATCTCCGTAGGATATCTCTCAAACTCCAAGGTAGGGCGCGTGGGATCACCGTCGAGATTGACAAACATACCGATGCCGGCATCCGACGGTCCCGTGCCAGTCACGATAAGAAATTCATCTGGAGTTGGGGACACGACAAGAGGCTTCAGCACTGGTGCGGTCGGCTTGGGTGGAGGAGGTGGTGGTAAGATTACAGCTGGTGTCAGGGCCGGCTGTGCGGCCGCCTCATCGCCACTCGCTGCAGAGCTCCGTGAAACGACAGACGATGGCTTTGATGGAGATGAAGAGTCCTGCCCGGCAGTGCCTTCTTCGGCATTTTCTTTGGGAGGCGGCGGTGGTGGTGGTTGGCTCGATGAGCGAGAGTTGCTTCCGGTCATGAAGCTGCCTAGGGATGTGCTCCGGCTGTGCCCGCTCTGTTGTGTCGCGGTCGATGCTGACCGCGTGTGCGCCTGCGCACTCGACGAGCTCCGAGACAAGCTGGAGTCGCCACCGCTGGCCTTCAGGTTTTGGACTTGGCCAGCCGCTGCTTCGGGTGACTGCTGGTCCAACGAGGATATGCTCGTCAACGGGATTTTGAGCTGCTGCTCCACGTGGACCAATGCATAGTTCCGGGCGTCGGCCACGCAGGCAATAGCATCACGGCGGACAGAGAGTATACTTGCGCCAAAGTCTATGTTCTTTACGACCCTTGGATCCTCGCCGATGCGGACGACCTGCAGCCGGCGGTTCAGGGAGAGCAACACGGTCACGCGCGGAGACGGACCCGTTGCAAGCTCCTCGCTGAGGTCGACGCCGCCGATCCAGTTGCAGTTCTTGACGTCGCGAAAAATCGGGGTGAGTTCGGGTAGCGAGTAAAATGTGACCGTCCAGTTGCAGAGCACGCAGGCCTTTCCGACCGGCGGGAGCAGAACGATCTGCTGTACGCCAGGCCTCGCCGGCCCTGGCGGATGTACTGGTTCGGTAAACGGTGGAGAAAGCCTAGAGGCAAGCATAAATGTACTTGTCGAGGATTCGTCGTCTGGGTCGGGAGGAAGTTGCACGAAATGGAGCAGCTCCGAGGCAGAGGTTCCCACGTAAAGATTACCGTCTGGTTGACGGGGTCAGCCAGTTGTCCTTGCCAGGAAAAAGCACAGCATATAGGGGTCGGTACTGGAGCTGCTTACCATAGTAGTCGACGCAATTGATCCGAATGTCCTCCTCCGTACCATCGGCCGAAAGCGGGACATTCTTCAGCAGCGACCGCAACACAAACGGCCCTCGCTCCAATGCCGTGGCATCGGCACCGCTGGCGACCGCCTCCGCAGCCATTGCAGAAAGCTACACCTCTCCGACTGCCGTATACAAGCTTCTAGGAGCAGTGGTCCAGAGGGGATCGTGGTCTTTGATTCGTTGGCAGGTCGCTAAGAGAGCCGTGCCATTTCTGGCCCTCGCAGTCTGCAGAGGTGCGACAAGCTGGATAATGGGGTTTCCGGTTTGAAAGTGTGCGTCTGTCAAAAAAATACCAATTACAGCAACGTCGAGTGCGCAGAGTGGTGCAGAATGCGAGGTCCGTGGCGATGGTAACTTAGGAGTCAAATACAACGGAGTGCGAAATACAGTAATAATGTCTCCTGCTGTAACGATGTGAGGCACTCGGAGCTGATAGAGGGTGACGAGGCTACCTGCAGGAACGACCCGAGCTTGCGTCCATTTGCACCTTCCCCCCACTAGGCAGCGTCCGTCCACAGGGCCGGGTGTGGCTGGTCTGCACAGGCATTTTGCTGGACAGGAAGGCGCGACGGCTCTGCCCCAACCCATGCGGTCTAGCGTCCCACGAGACCCACAAGTTCGACCTCAGCGCCTGCTATTTCGGACAGCTAACGACGTAGCCCACCTGCACTGCAGGGCAACCACGCCGGTTTTAGCATACGTATTCGAACGCACATGTGCGGTTCCTTCCTCCGCATTTCGCGTCTCCTTTTCTAATTAAGAACCGACAGGCCTTCGACCTCGACGACACCTCTCAAACATCCCCATTGCTGAATCAAACCATTATTGTCTCATTTCGCAGTGGTCCCAGCAAACGAGCAGCTCGTTGAAGCCCGCCACTCGTTCGAATTCTTCCATCTGTGCCTCGTGCCGCACTCGATTTTTATTCATTTCTAGCGACACTGCCTTCTGTCCATCGAATATTGCCAGCCGTCTCGCCCGAGCGTCCGTTGAGCGATGGCCGACGCAGCAGCCGTGGCAGGTTCGCCTGTGCCGGGCGGAGATGGAGCCGGATCCGGATCCCATACTACAGTGACGGGGTCTGGTGCGGAGAATAAGTTCCAGGGAGCCATCTCGGCATGGCGGAGTACGTTTTGTCCTGGGGAGCAGTGGCACTGTGATGGGCGAGGCTGTGGACATAGGAACGTTACTAACGTCTTGCGTTTTGGCAGAAGTCGACCTGACGACGCTTGTTTCGAGTCTCGACAATACTGCATCCGAAATTGTTGCGTACCAGCGCGACTCGACCGTGCAGCGCAAGGACCTTGCGCAGAAGACAAAAGATTTCCGCAAGATGGACGACACGACGAAGCTGTCCGAGATCAAGGGTCTGCTCAAGGCCTACCAGACATTCATCGACCTGATAACGAACCACTCCAAGTCTGTCAACTCGGCCTTCATCCAGGCGTACAATTCGCTCTCCGAGGTGCCGGACCCGTACCCACTGCTCGAGGCGTCGGTCGACTCCATGCTGGTCGCCGAGGATACGCTGCCCAAGCTCACCGAGGAGAATGGCCACCTGCAGAGCACCGTGACAAAGCTCACGTCGCAGCTGGACGAGACCGAGTCGAAGCTGCAGATGGAGCTGACGGCCCGCAAGCAGCTTGAGGACAACCTGGAGAGCAAAGTCAAGGACGTGGAGCAGTCGTGGACCGCGGTGCTCGACGAGAAGAAGGAGAACTGGGAGGCCAAGGAAAAGGCTTTTGAGGAGAAGATCGAGACGCAGGACCGGTTGCTTAGCGAGATCAAGGCCAGCTACGAGGTCAACCAGCGCCTGGGCCATGCCAAGGAGGCAGGCGAGGAGGGCCAGCGGCCGTACGTGACGAGCGCCGAGCTGGAGATGGTCAACTCGGACCTCGAGCGGACGTCGGCGCGGCTGGCCGACGTGGAGGCGCGCAACGAGCAGCTGCTGACAGAGCTCGCACAGGCCAAGTCAGCGGTGCCCGACCAGGCCAAGGCCGTCGAGGACGACCCGGCGTACCTGCAAGTGCTCTCACAAAACGCATCGCTCGTGCGCAAGCTGGATGCCAACCGGGTGGAGAAGGAGGGCCTCAAGCGCGACCTGGACACAAGATTGCGCGGGCTCGAGCGGGAGATCGGTCTCCTGCGCGAGGAGCGCGACACGCTCAAGACCAAGGTGCAGAAGTGGAGCGACTACGAAGACGTCAAGCAGGAGCTCGAGGTGCTGAAGAGCATCGAGTTTTCGACGGGCGACGACGACGATGCGAACCTGGGCGGCAGCATGGGTGCCCGTAACAAGGGCAATGGCGACACTCTGGAGCAGCTGCTTCTGGCGCGCAACAAGAAGCTTACCGAAGAGGCGACCATTCTGCGGGTGTCGCACCAGGACCTCCAGTCGCGCCTCACGAAGCTGGAAGACGACCTGTCGCGGCGGAACGCCGACGTCGAGCGGCTACAGAAGCTGACCGAGAAGCTCGAAAACGACCTGGCCACGGTCGAGGCCGAGGCTCCCAATGCCTTCCCCTCCGGTGCCTCTGTGGCCGGCACCTACGTTAGCCGGTACACGCCCACGATTGGTGGACGCCGTGCCGGGGGACGCTCCACGTCACCGACGTCGTCGATTATCAGCGGCTTCAGCCCCCACGGCTCGGGCGGTGGTGAGCCCATGGGTGGCGGATCGGGCATTCTGCCCATGATTACGGCACAGCGCGACCGGTTCAAGGCCCGGATCACGCAGCTGGAGCAGGAGCTGGCCGACGAGCGTCGGGTCGTGTCGCAGCTGCGCCAAGAGGTGGCCGCGCTGCAGAGAGACAACCTCAACCTCTACGAAAAGACACGCTACATGTCGAGCTACAACCGTGGCGGCGGTGGCGCCAGCTCGTCGTCGGCCTCGGCGTATGCCACCAACCCGAACCCGTCGACGGTGTCGATTGGCGGTGGCAACGGGTCGGGTGCGTCGCTCGACCGGTACCGCAAGGCCTACGAGAGCAACCTGTCGCCGTTCCAGGCATTCCGCGGCCGCGAGTCAGCGCGGGCATACCGGCGACTGTCGTACCCGGAGCGGATTGTCTACTCAATCACGCGTATGGTGTTGTCCAGCCGCACAAGCCGCAACCTGTTTGCGGCATACTGCGTGGCTCTCCACCTAGTGGTGTTCCTGTCACTGTACTGGATGAGTGGCATGGACAGCGCCCAACACGCGAGCAACTTTGGGCACGACGCAGCCATGGCGGCGGCGGCAGGTGGCAGCGGAGCAGCGGCGGCGGCACCAGCAGGAGCGGCTGGCGATGGAGGCGCCAGTTCACATGGAGACTGGCAGGAAGAAGGCTTTAGTCACTGAGGGTTGAGGGCCTCACTTAATTGCCGGAACGGAATTTCGTGGACGTGAAATCATGGACGTAAAATGGAGCATTCGGTGTTATTGGTTTCTATTTGGGTAGCCCTCTGATTGGTTGTTTAATCCCTATTCCTTTTTAATTCGATTCCCATTTTGACCACGTTCTTCTTGCGATGATGATACCCGCTCCCTTCCCCCAGCAGATTTTGTTTCTTCAATCCTTGACAAGGCCAACCAGGTTTGAGAGACATAATCACGATGGCGACCAGTGAGGAGGCGGAGGTGTATTTTTGGAAACCGATGGGTAAGGCAAGAAAAGCACGGCGAATGTGTGGTGGCATCATGCCAGGAAGGCAAGAACAGTGGCGTTTACAATCTTTGGCGCTTTGTGTCTATTTCTCCTCTCGAATAAACCTCTTCTTTCGCCTTCTCTCCTCCACTCGTGATCGATTCTCGTCTGCCGCCGGCCTACTGGACCGGCCACTCCCTTCCAGGCAAGTCAACAAGTCCATGTGGCCCACTTTGATGGCCTAGACAATAGAAGCCAAGACGCAAGCTTCGACGGGCGCTTCATCGGTATGACGGATGCGTACGTGTTGGTCTTTGGTGCGTTGCTCAGACCTGTTGGAGGTTTTAGCCAAGGTCTCTCGATCTGGCGTGGCCATTATTAGATCACGAAAGAACAACTACTCGCCTAGCAAGCGGTTCGGCAGCTAACCCAACAGACACCGGGGTGTTTTCCTGTACCAGGGCCAGTTGGCTGATTTGCAAGGCCACGGCCCAATAATGGTTTGGTTGATGATGGCCACCATTCCCGGCAGAGAAAATAAATAAAACAAAAATAAAACAAAAATAAAATAAAAGGACCCTTTGAGACGAATCAAGCATCTCCGGGCGAACGAAGCTGTTCTCCAGGCGGCTGATATATCGCACCCCGATGCTATATGTTACCCGAGCGCTAAGGTTGTGTTTGGTTTGACAAGTTCAGCGTCATTTTGGTCGCCATCATATTACAGCACTGTCCACAAAGACGGCTCTGAGATGAGGCTTTTCCGAGTAAATAGGTACACAGACCGCCCTCTTTGTTGTCTGGTCCTCTCTGATATAAGGGGTACGGGATTTGTGGGCTTACTTTGTGTCTCGTTATTTGATTATCAACGTCATTGCGATTCTAGGTTCTGCGAATTCCCCCCCCCCCCCCGAAAAAGGCTTAAAAAGAGACTGAGAGAAAAGGCTCTCCGACTGCTTTCTCAACCGTCCAACATACAAGACACCAGCATCGTGTCCCATTTACCAATACAACATCGATACCCGCGGAAAATGGTAGGCCACTGACAAACGGGCGCACGACATCCAATCAATTCCATCTTGATCCAGGATGAATCTAAGAATATGCCACACCTACCGCCGCATACCCAGCCTCCTAGCTTGGTAAACAGTGGCAGCAGGCAGTCGTCTGGTTCTGGGCGGCTCGCTGGGATCGTAGCAGTGGGAAGCCTTGCATTTCAACAGACGTATTTCCACCACGAGAACAAAATTTACAGCATTGGATTGTGGGGCCTGGCACGTGTCGACACGCTAAATTGTACAGCGGAATAGGCCAGAGGCCAGGTCGCCATCGAACCGCCCAGGCCGCATTAGTTCGTCGAGCTGTTGTCTTACAATAGACACGATCCACATATTTTGCCCACTTCTGCGGCGGGGAACTACCCATAGCCGCCGGCGCTAAAGTTAATTTATTTTCAGACAAAAACGACAGGCGAGGACGGCAGGAGCCACTGGCGAAAACACCACACGACTTTCCGTACACACTGAGAACGGGAGAGGCAAATGGACATAGCAAGCCGACAATACACTGGAATATGGCAAAATGCGACTTTCGTGTATGGAAAATAGCGAGAGGCCGTCCGGGGTAAACAAAGAAGTTGGCGGCCAGTGCGTCGCCTTTCCATTGCCTGCACGCTCGGAGGTCTTTTGCCCACCGTTTTTCGCTCCTTCCGTCTCTGCCCGGCAGGTCGAGACACACCTTCCTTTTTTACAATGTGGCGGTCTGTGGCGGCCTGTGGCGTCCGACCAGCCGCCCTTTCCGAGCTCGAGCGTTTGAGCAGATGTTGTGTATGGAGGACGGCATTGATTTCGTGTACAGAGTACGACGTGGTACATATGTAGATGTGCAAACTACGACGACTACGAGTCGGTCATTCTCCTCATTCATGTGTAATAGATACAATGGAAGAACTGCCGTTCTGAATCTGCTCGATTCGAGCGACTGGTAAGATGCCCGACCGTCGTGAGGCTTCTGATAGCATACGTTCTTGCAATCATGTAGGAGGGAACGTCGAATTCCTCTCAACGTGCTGTGTTATGAAAGTACTCCGTACACACCTTGAACACGCTGAATGTATGGTGTACTTTGCCCGCAGTATGAAAGGGCAGGAGCCAATAGTGCTTGCCGTACGACATACCTCCCACCCCTGTCGCGCCTTCCCGCACGATCTCCAGACTCGTCCAACCAGACCCCGGCTTTTGTCCTCTGCGTTACCATTTGCTGGGAGACCCAGTCCCTCATTTCGACTGCGATCTGCAAACGCCCGCCCCTCTGTTTTCCTTCCACACAGTCCTCATCATTCTCTGCCTTCCCAGCCATCTTCAGGTCGGTTTCGTCCTTCCGCGGCGGACCCTGGCCTGGCTGCTTCTAATCTGGGCTCCACGCCAAGTCCGGGTACCCCCCATCTCTGCTCTCCCAGCTCTCTTTCATTCTGTCTGTTTACCGTCGAGATGGAGACCCTCCACGTTAAACGCCTCCTGCCTGGCTGGCCCCAGTTGGCCGCCGATACGGCCGCGTCTAGGTAGGTTTTCTCTTGCTGGCGTGCCGCTGGAAGACCGGACTTGGAGCGTCCCAATTGCTCAGAGGAGACAAGGGTGTGACCTTAATTTAGGTCGCTCTTTGTTCTATTTTTTCTATCCAAGACTGTCGGCGGATATTCCGAACATGTTGTTGATCCAGCCTCGTATAATAGACGTCTGTGTCGCCCATCTCGAGATCTTGACGTTTTTTCAGAAAACAAAGCAGTCTCGCCAACGTTGTGAAGTCTTTTTTCATTTTTCATTTTTCTTATTCTCTTTTCATTTCGGTTCAGTGTCTTTTCCATTTCTTCCCTTTTGTCTCCTCTTTATCCATTTTATTTCATTGCTGGACTGGTTCCTCCCGAACATATATATTAATAGTGCCGCTTTTTTGTTTGTTTTCTTATTATCCAGCCTCCTCTTGTATCCACACATCCACACTTTCTTCCCTACCCGTGACGACACCAATTATCTGTCGCCTTATATAGACAGCGCTCCCATACCGTCTCTCGACTAGACCTGCCGTCTCCTCCTCATCGACTTCCCCTCCAACCTTTCCACACACAAAATGCACGCCTCATCATTGCTGCTGGCCTCTGTGGCCGCTGTCGCCGTCATGGCCTCGCCGAGTTACCCCGAGCTGACGAGCAACAATGCCATGCCCGGTGCTCTCGACACTGTCTCCAGCTACTTCAACGTGCTGGCTGAGAAGGCCCAGCAGACTCGCCAGTCTGCAGCTGCACCCGTCTGCGATCTTTCCAAGGCTATCTTCCCGGCCAATTGTGAGTGCTCAACACGATCATTCTGAAGGCGAATATGTGGCAGAAGAACTCGACATACTAACACATCAAACAGCCGCCACACCGGCCCTGCCTCCGCCCTCGGCTGGCCTTGTCCTCAAGCACGTCGCCATCGGCCGCGGTACTCAGAACTACACCTGCGACATCGCAAACGCGACCGCCGTGCCTGTTGCGGCCGGCGCCCTGGCCACCCTCTTCAATGCCAGCTGCGTCGCCGCCAGCTACCCCGACGTCCTCGACCTGCTGCCCCGCGTCGTCCTGCCCTTCAACTTGTCAGACAACGAGATTTCCGCCTTTTCTACCCGCCTCTACCCAACCAACCTTGCTCTGTCGGGCCACCACTACTTTAAAACCGCCACAACGGCGTTTTTCGACCTCGACACCCCGACCACCCAGATCGGCCAGATCCCCTGCGGCAAGACCGCCACCCAGAGTGCGCCCAGCGACACAGTTGTGGGCTCGGATTCTGACAACCGCGGCCAGCAGGGCGAGGCGGCTGTGGCATGGCTGAAGCTGGCGGCCACGGCGCCCACCACAGGCGGCCTGCAAGAGGTGTACCGGCTGCAGACCGTTGGCGGCAGCCCGCCAGCAAAGTGTGCCGGCATGCCGGCTGAGTTTACGGTGCAGTACGCGGCTGAGTACTGGTTCTACGAGACCAGCTAATGGCTGTTACAGCAATGCTTGCTACGTATTTTTTTATGGTTTCCTTTTTCTTTCTTTTCTGTTTTATTTTCCTCTTATTTCCGTCAGTGATTGGGATAAAACATGCCAGGGCGTTTAATAGTTGTGACGGGCAGTGATTGGGTCTTTGGTTCTTTCTAGTTTACTCTGTGCTTTTAATAAATACCATCAAGTCACGGTTTCACCGCACCTCTCTCTTTGACATGGTGTTCCATGATTGTTCACAGCCGCTATGTGGTTGGGAAATGTATTATTTGTGACGCTTCGAATGAAGCCGTTGTCTGTTTTCAGCCACCGGAGAAGTTTTTGGTCTATGCTACCTCACAACCTCGCAACTTTTCAATTCTGTATATACCTCCAAGAAAAAAAACGACTACCACTTTGTGTATTCAATAGCAACACAACTTCTGTCCCCTATTTCGCTGCTCAAAACACCAAAAAGTAATGAAAAACTAAAAGTGAAAAAAATGAGACCTGCAATGAGTCAACCGGCTGCTCATGACGGCTCGGTCCAGTTGACCTGCTCGACAACTTGGCCGGACGAGGGATGCGTGAATCCAATACGTAGTCGCAGACGAAGGGGCTTGAAATCGTCAGTAAACGTGGTGATAAAATAATACACAAACCAGTAGAGGGGGGCAAAAAGCAAAACTTACTCCTTTCACACCAACAACCCGCATCAGCTGCGTTGCCTCCTGGCCTGCAGCCAGGTCGGCCGACGATATGGCCAGCAACTGCAGCTTCTGGGACTTGGGCACAGCTGCCTGTAGGCCCACGGCTGACACGGGCGCACCGCCCACATTGCGGAAACGCGCCATCGCCTGTACGGCGCCCTCGGCGTTTCGTTGCGTAGCAATAGTCACCTCCAGACCGTTGCCGTTGTAGACGGGATGACCTGTCGGTGCCGCAGACGGGGCCTGTTGCTGCTGCTGAACGGCAGGAGTCGAAGAAGAAGAGAAGAGATCCACGGGAAGACCGCCAGGTGCTGCAACCGCAGCGGGGGGTGGTGTGGCAGCGGCAGCAGGTGCCGACGAGCCAAAGAGGTCCATGATAGTAGAGACGTTGTTTTGTGCCGGCGCGGGGGATGACGTTGATGGTGCGGGCGAGCCCGAAAGACCGCTGCCACCGCTGAGAATGTCGGCCAGTAGGTCGGCGTTGTTGTGCTGCGCGCCGTTGGTAGGCGACGCGACGGCCGGGGCGCTGTCACCCATGAGATCCAGCAGGAGATCCTGCTCGGTCGGTTTGACAATCTTGGACTTGCGGTTGGCGGCCTTGCTCGACTTCTTGGTCACAGCCGCCTCGCCCAACACGCGGGACGACTCCTTGATCTGCGGTGGCGGCATCTTCTCCAGCACACCGCGGCGGATCTCATCGTGGTTAAACAGATTGCCGTACTCGGCGGCGCGCTGCTGCACCTCGACATCCAAGTTCGTCTGGTTGGCCAGCAGCATCCGGCGCACGCGCTCGATCTGTGCCGGGTCCGACAGCCGCGTCGTCAGCTTGATCAGCGCCGTCAGCAGGTACTCGGTGGTCACCTGCGTGGCGTAGCTGCTGTTGAAGATGGTTGAGAACAGGTCGATAATATCCTCTTCCTTCACCACCTGCACAAGCTCCTCCTCCTCGTACTGGCCACCCCGCAAGAGCGCATCGCCGTACTCGCCAATGGACCAGGCGGCCGCCTGCGTCAAGCTTTCTTGCGTAATATCTTTCTTGAGGTTGGCGTACAGCTTCTGCACGGCGTACGTCTGCAGCTCGGGCGTCGTGGCCACAAGGCGGATGAACGAGGACAAGATGGGCTCCTTAACGTAGTTGCCGGCCAGCGATAACACGCGCAGCATCGTATCGACATGCCAGCGCTTGTTGGGCGCGAACTTGTCGGCGGCAATGCCAATCTGGCTCGTCATTGTCGGCTTGAACTCGTTGTCGGCCACCTCCAGGAACGCAAGCAGCTCGCGGATGAGAACGCGTACGTTGCCCTCGTTGATCAGGGTGAAGCTGAGGTCCAGAGCACGACGCCGGATGCTGATGTCAGGATCGCGCAGGCAGTCGAGGATAGTGCTGCGGTGGCGCTGCACGGCGTTCGGCTCGATAGCAACCACCTTGATGAGCGTGTTGAGCGCCACGTAGCGAATGTTGTTGTCGCGGTTGGCGAGGAACTTTCCGAGGATGTTGACGCCAAGGACACGGAGTCCGGAGTCGGCCTCAATGTCGAGGATCGTCCGAACAGCCTCGTAGAGGATCGAATTGCCCACATTCTTGGACGAGTCCGTGTTCGTGGCCACCTGTGCAAGAATGTCGTTGATCTGCTCCGTTGTTTGCGCGTCACCACGAGCCAGCACTCGCAGCAGGTGCAGCACCTTGACCTGCAGGAACGGATCGGTGATGCCGGTGACGTCGTGTTCCGGCGCGTAACCAGACGACGCCAGGCCCTTGAGCGTGCGCACCAGCGCCGGGACGAACTGGCGGAACTTCTCAATGATGCCCTCGTCGCCAACGTCGGCATCCTCGTCCTCCTCGTCTGCCTCGCACAGGCTGGTAACCAGCGTCAGGCCGCAGAGTAGCACGCCGTGGTTACGGTCGGACAGCAGATGGGCGGCCTTCTCGATAAAGTGCTCCTGGAGGTCGGGGACCTTGCGGCATATCCGCATGGCGCAGAGAGCGGCCTTTCTCCGGATGTACGGGTTGGACGTCGATATCAGGTTCTCGATTTCGGCAAACAGGTCTCGTGACATCTCGACAGACGCAATGTTGCCGAGCGTGCACAGCGCCAGGCCGACAACGTACTGGTTCGAGTGTGACAGGTCACTGTGAAGAAAGTAAGTAGCTGTCCGCTCCCCGTCGTCCGTTCTCCCGCATGACGCTTGCTGATTGAGGACCTACTTTTTCAACGAATTTGTGACGAGCGTCAGCACCTCCTGGTTCTCGTCGAGCAGCAAGCTGGTTGCCAAGTGGCCGAGACGCTTGTCGGCAAAGCGCGGCGAGGCCAGCAGCTTCAGACACTCGATCTGGCCGAAATGTGTCCGCTCGCCAAGCGTGAAGAGATAGAGGAGCTTCGCGACGTTATTGCGCCTAGCAATGCGAGTCTGTGTCAGTACGACTATCTACCCATGTCTCATGTTCATTCGTCCTCTGTTTCCCTACCGAACGTTGTGGTCATGGGTCTCCTCGCGGAAGCTGGCACGGATGGCGGCACTCTCCTTCTGGATCACGGCGCGCTCATCGGCAATTGTCTTGGCGGCCCGCACATTGCGGATGAACTGTTTTACTGTAGAAGAGGCGACTAAGTTAGTTTCGAGACACCTTCGACGTATCCCTTGACCATATCATTCCAGACGTGGCACTCACAGGACGACATCTTGCACGAGTAGATTCGATGTGAGGCCCGTTACGGCCTACAGGGAAGGAGCTGGCGCCAGAGTAAGGGGGATGGTGCGGCGGGATGCGAAGAAATGCAGTGATGAAGACTTCGTATTATGTCTCGGTGTGTCGTGTCTTTGTTGCTCGATGCAGAATACTGCTGGCTGGCAATGCGGTTCGCGGATGCCTGGCCCTCGGGTCGTGCTTTCCCTTCTTTGTACGGCGACCGCTTCGGGGGCTGTTGTGGAAGGAGCATCCCAACGAGTAGGATGGCCTGCAACTAGCTTGCGGGCTGTGGTTGGTAGGCGGGGCAATGGTTAATCCAGACCGCCCCTCGCGAAACCATCAGGGAGCTCAGGGGTTCGTAGTGGGGGCGGCCAGGCGGTTTGCGACCGTGGCACCTTCTGATAGTAAATTGAGGGCGCTCGCTTTGGCGCATATCTGGTTATATGCTTGTCGCAGAGTTTCGCCGCCTTGCATTCTGCCGTTTAAATGCTGGCGACGGCCTTCTCAGCCTTTCACTACAGCCTTTCAACAACGCATTGCACGCCATCGCGTTCCCCCCAATCACTTACAAACATTGTCGCCAAGATGCCGAAAGCAGAGGTCGGGTCCGTCAAGCACCTGAGCAACCAGATGAAGGCCAAAGGCCTGACTCGTATGTTTACTTTTCCTTTTGCTCCTGTTTGTTACTCCTCAGTCGCACTATACTGACTGTTCCAGGGTTGCGATGGTATTGTCAGATCTGCGAGCGCGCCCTGCGCGACGAAAACGCCTTCAAGCAGCACACCCTCAGCGAGAGCCACGTGCGCAATATGCTGGCCGTCGGCTCCGACCCGCGCAAAGTCATCAACGAGTACTCCGACCAGTTCCTCAAAGACTTTATCCAGCTCCTGCGCACCGGCCACGGTGAGAAGCAGGTGCAAATCAACCACTTTTACCAAGAGTTTATTGCGCGGCGCGACCACGTCCACATGAACTCCACCAAATGGTCGTCCTTGACCGAGTTCGCCAAGTATCTGGGGCGCGAGGGTATCTGCCGCGTTGAGGAGAACGAAAAGGGCATCTTTATCTCGTGGATCGACACATCGCCCGAGGCGCTCAGGCGGCAAGAAGCTCTGCGGAGGAAGGAGGCGCAAGACCGTGGTGACGAGGAGTGGGAGCAGCGGATGCTCAAGGCCCAGATTGAGCGCGCGACACGAACAGCGAAGGAGCGCAAGAAGCAGGAGGGCGGCTCAGGCGATGATGTCGACGAGGAGGATGAGGATGAGAAGGAGAAGAAACACATGTTGCAGCGGGAAGAGGGCGAAAAGATCAAGCTCACTTTCGGTCCAGCAAAGTCGACGCCGGGCGAGTCCTCATCGCCAATATCACAAACACCAAAAGCAGATGGAGAAGTAGGCAAGGAGGGCAAGGAGGGCAGGGAAGTGGATGTTGGAAGTACAGAGACTTCGACAGCAGAACCGCCGGCCGAGCCTCCTGTGTCCAAGCCCATGTCGTTGAAGCTTGGAGGTCTCAGCAAGCCCCAACCAAAGAACGTGTTTGCCGCCGCGAAGAAGAATACACTCGGGGGAAAGTCTAGCGCCAAGAAGATTGAGGTTCCGAAAAAGATGAGCGAAGCGGAGCGCATTATGAAGGAGGAGATGGAGCGGAAACGGGGCCGCGAATCGGGCGGTGGCATGAGTTTCAAGGTTGGCGGGCCGCCGAACAAGAAGCCGAGGTTTTGATAGCCGAGCCAGCCTTCCCACGAATATGGCGACATGGTTATTAGGGTGCATTTTAGGAGTTCTCAGCGTATTATACCATTTATAGACGGCGTCGTCTTTGACTCTGGGAGACTTCGCATTGCGTTTTATTTCATAAAAATACAAACCGTTTTTGTTCACTCTGTATGATCCTCCCAAGGTTTACTCGGCGCACATTTGCCGTATCCTTTATTTCCACACCAAAACCCGATCCTGAACGCCGTGCAACACCAAAATTATCGCCAAATGTCGCTTGCTTCCCAGGTAAAAAAGAGCACTGTTGGAATCACCCGCTCGCTTTCCATCTCACCACTTAGTCTGCCTCGGCAGCGCTTCCATCACGTCTGTATATAGTTAGCAACTGCACTCGTCCATTCCCTGGTAAGTTAAGTTGGGGCAAGCACGCACGGTATGTATTGAATGCGGTGCTCGTCCTCGAGCTGTGCCCGTACGTCATCCGGCAGCTGACCAGAAACCTTGATCGCATACACACCGCGCACATAGCCGTCGAGGCGCTGCCACCGTGCCACCCACGACTTGTTGGGGTTCGCCAGCGTGATGAGGCCTTCGAAGACCTGGCTCGTGCAGGTATCGATCTGCTCGGGGGAGCCTGCAAGGTGCAGGAACTCTTCGCAATTGGGGCACCCTTCCTCGCGGAAGCGTTGGAAGGTCATGACGATTGAGCAGACCATGCAGGCGCGGAGGTAGCGCTGCTGGCCTGGGGCGACGTAGTTATCTGACATGATTGCGGATGGGCCGTGGTCACGATGCTCTAAAACGTGGGAGGTTCGTAGGAGAAAGGCGACAGACGTGAGGAGCGAGTGAAAAGGTCAGTCCAAAGTCAGTCGGAGGGACAGGGTGGTGGACAGTGTGTGGACAAAGGAGAATCGCAAACGGCTGGATACTGGTAGTTTTTCAAAGGTCGAAGTTTGGAGGGTTCAGCCCGGCGTTGTCGAGTGGATGGCGTTGGTAGCTCAAGTGCCGCGAATGGCCTAGCGCAGGAATATATCTTGGCTACATGCATCATTGAGCTCTTATGCAGGAAAGCGATTTTTCGCCACCACATCTCATCGCCGACTACCACCAGCACCTCTAAGATACTTCCAATTTAATAAAACAAGGCGATGTTCTTGTGGTTTTTTCTACAAAATATTTTTTTACCATGGCTGCTAGCGATCTCCATGACACGCCCATGGGCAACACATCACTGGCATCCTCCATTGGCGCTGCCTCCAAGACCAAGACTGCCAAGGAGAGCAAGACGCGGGAGCTGTACAGCAGCACGATCGGCCGGCCCCCGTTTGCCTATGCCCAGATCGAGGTCGTGCAGAACCATCAGAGCCAAGAATCGCAGGGACCGCTTGATGCGCTGCAGGTGCGCTCCTACTGCGATGCGGCCCTCAAGCAGTTCCTGGGAGCTACGGGTGCGGCCATGCCGCTCGATCTGCTGAAGTTCGACGGGAACGAGTTCTGGGTGCGGCTGCCGCGCGAAGACATGGGACTCTTTGCGGCGGCCCTTGCGGCCTGGAGCAGCGTGTCTCGGGGGGGCACGGCCACGGCACTGCGTCTGAGAGCCTCCGGCAACTGGCTGGGCAGTCTAATCGGACGAAGCCAACAACAGGCTCTGTGGAACGGCGTTGCAACATGAACGACAAAGTCATGGAACGCCAATGTACCAATACAGGGGTTGTATGCCCGATTTCCATATTCTTCTCACGCTGGTGAAGCGGCACTTGTGTTCGGCCTCAGAAAATAGCGACGGGAAGTGGACAACAGCACGAGGACTGAGAATGCCATACCAATCCACGACGCAAACGACTCGACATGCCCACAAGTCCATTCATCAAATAAACGACCAAATGCTAGCAGTATTTAAATGCACGCCATGCCCAAAAATGCCAACCCCGTCCGAGCATCCGTGACAGCGCCCCAAAGAAATGACCGCCCCAAAGTCGCAAAACGCCCTCGCCAAAAATGGATGCATTTCCAATATGTGCAAGTCTGGTTGTCGTGTTTTATTGTTCCAAAGGTAGGCCGCGTTCCCCATTTTCGACACCGTGTCCTGCCTTTATTCTCTTTCTTCTTTCATACCGCGTCTGCTTTGGTATATCTCCAATTATGTTGATTTTATTATTTCTGTCTCCTTTACTTTTGACACCCAATATGCTTACAGCAGCGAAGACATCATCGAGTTGTTTGCGTACGCCTGGGACTAGTTAGTTTTTGGACAAAACAAAATACACAGAATCAGAAGGAGGGACAGTTGGGTCGTACCATGGGACGAATATTCGGGTGTGGCACGGCGTCGAACTGGTGGAAGTTGAGCTTGTAGTCTGAGCCGATGTTGATGTACGCGCCGCGGTTCTCGGTCATATCGCAGTACTTTGGTGCGGAGAAGACTGTATGTTGTTAGAAGAGATACCCCAGCACGAATAACACATTGTCAATGTGACGCGAGCGTCGCTTACCAGTAATGCACTTTCCGTTGTGCTCCTCTTCGTAGCCGTCCATGCGGACCTCGTGACTGCGGATAATGGCCTCGAGGCCGTTCTTCTCGCAGAAGCGCGCTGTCACATCAGGACCGAACTGCATGCCGACACCGCGTTTGCTGGGACCCCGGCCGGGCTCGGGCTGAGGGTCCGTCCACAGCATCTCCATCATCAGACCGGCTTGGCCTGGCTGGCGCTGCTTGTGCCGGTCCAGCTTACGGATGTCGCCGAGGGTAACATTGTCGTCCGAGAACAGGCCGCCGTGGAGCACGAAGTATTTTTCGCCAATCAGTGTGGCCAGCGGCAGCGCCGAGAAACTCTCCGAGAACAGGCGGAATACGCGCTCGTTATACTTGGCTTTACACTCACCCTCGAAACCGTAGGCCCGGTTCATGTCGTCGGTCTCGTGGTTGCCGCGGTTGAGGAAGAAGGCTTCGGGCCGCAGCCACTTGTTGGCGTACAGAAGCAGCGCAATCTCCGTGGACCAGGAGCCGCGGTCGACAAAATCGCCGTTGAACAGGTACCAGAGCTTCTCCGACGGCTTGCCGTTGAGGCGGAATAGCTCCATCAGGTCAAAGTACTGGCCGTGCGTGTCACCGCATACGGTTAGGGTTGTGTCATCGGGCACCATGACCTCTTTCATGGTCGGCTCGTCGTGCACAATCTTGGTGACGGCCAGTAGGATCTGGTAGACGTATTTCAAGTGGATCTTCTTGCCCTCCTTGAACCGCTCGGTCATGTCGTCGATGAACTCTTGCGTCATCTCGTCGCCCAGGCGCACGCCGTCGTAGTCGTCCTTGACGACCATAGACTCGACATCGAGACCCTCAGCTGCCGACGGCTCGTCGCCGACCTCGATTGCCTCAAAGAACTGTAGTTGCCGCACCACCTTTTGGCAGTCGGACAGCTTGGCTTTGGCGTCGACATTTCCCGGGTTGAGCTTGACGCACATCCGGAAGTCCTGCAGCGCATCTTTTGGTTTGAGAATGGCTGCAGAGGCCAGAGCACGGCGATAGTAAGCCTGGCGAACGCAAAAAAATGATTGTCAGCTTGCAATACAAAATATGAGCATCTGTTTCAACAGAAGGAAGCAGTACCTTGACAAAATTTGGGTCCAGGTCAATAGCCTTGGTGGCGTCTGCAATGGCATAACCGTATGCTTCTGTCTTCAGATATGCCTGCACGACTGTCAGCAGCAAGTCATGGCATATATAAGTGCACATATATGCGGATGTGGGGGTCACGCGAGCCCTTTTCGGAGACGCACCTGGGCGCGGTTCGCAAAGTACGTCGGTTCGCTGTGGTCGAGCTCGATCGCCTGGGTGTAGTGGTCGATTGCTGTCGGCCAGTCGTGCTTCAGGAAGGCCTTGTTGCCATCATTCTTGGCCGCCAGGGCCTTCTCCTTGTCCGTCGTCATGATAGGCAGCCGGCGTGTCGAGGAATTAAGACGGGATCGTGGTCGGGATTTCGTGATAGTTGGGCGAGCCGATGGTGAGACAGCGGGGGGAAGGGCCGCTTGCTGATGGGCGTTGCGCAATTCGACACGCCGCACGCCGAAGGTTGCGAGAAGGTCGCTCAAGACAGTTCGTGGGCGTGAATGCAGAGCGTGGAGCGAGCGGCTAAAAAATTAAGAAAAATGCTTGTTTTGAGCGGCCAGCGAAATTGCAGTGCACGAGGCGGCCGCTGTCGTGTGGGGAGGCGATGATCCGTTACAGGCAGGAGCAGGCGCCGAAGGCCGCCGAACGTTCTTTCTGGCCCAGGCCCTTACCAAAGCGCCTAGACCTTCTGCGAGGTAAAATACGCATATATGCATATTAAGATTTGGTCCCTCAATATGTATCAAAAAGGTGACGAACCACAGACGAGTGGCAAGTGTTACTGCCAAATCTAGGCTGCTCTTCCCCAACACAAAACACCACCACTTCCGGCGAACGGACCATCGCCAACACAACAACACAACCATGGCCGAACCAGGCGCATCTACGAGCTCGTCGCTCGTGCGCAAGCGGACGGACACAGAGTTGATGCCGCCTCCGCCACCAGCAAAGCGCATCCAACGCCCCAAGACCGTCCTCGACGAAGACTCGTACACAGACGGATTGTCGAAGATCATTGCACGCGATTTCTTCCCCGGCCTGATTGAATCGGAAACGCAAAACGAATACCTGAATGCGCTTGAATCGAAAGATCCAGCATGGATCTCCAGCGCTGGAAAACGGCTCAAAGAAGCCATGACGCCCGGCCGCCGCCACCGGTCAAGGCTGCACACGCCGTCTCTTCGCGGAACTCTAGATGGCCGCCCGGGCGAAACACCGCAGAGTTTTGCGGGCGACACACCTGCCTCGGTCGTTTCCATCAGCACAACGGCCACGGTGGATACCCCGGTAGTCACCAAGGTGGGATCGAACCCCGACACAAACGTCAGCCTTGGCACGTACCAGTCCAAATACACGAGCGAGGACAACGAAAGCTTCTACAAGCTGCTCGACAAACAGAATCAGACGCGGGCTGAGAAGCATTCATGGGTCTACAACGGCAACAAGCTACCGTCCAAGATGCAGCTGAAGCAGAAGGAGGTGGAGGACCGGCTGATCGAGTCGGGCGTCAGCCTCGTCGACAACGGTTACCAGAAAGACCGCTTGGCCATTAAGGACCAAGACGACCGTCCGGCAGCGCCCGATACGTGGAAGACCAAGGCAAAGAATGGACTCATGTTCCTGCCGGACGGCGTTGACGGGTCTGTCGAGACCGTAGCCCAAAAGGCGCAAGCTGACTCGCTTGCGGCGCCCAAGTCGATCGTATACGCCAACACGCGTCTGCGAGGCACGTCGCTGCTCTCTGAGCAGCGGAGACAGGAAACACCACAAAATCAACAAAATCAACAAAAGGGACGGCGAAGCAGCTCGGTCTCCAGCGCCGCCATCCCACCATCACCGACACTGTCGGCCGTGCGCGACGCCATTGCAGGCAAGCCACGGCGCATGGACGCTGACTCGACAGCAGGCTCACTTGCCGGTTCGACCATGGGTGGCGAGACGCCCCGCGTCAACGGGTACGCCTTTGTCGATGAAGAACCCGAGGCCGAGCTCGGCGCACCGCCAGTCATCGATTTTGGCAAGGTCGACGGCACGCCCAACCCGTTCCAGCTTCAAGACAAGAGCAAGCGCGAGGGTTTGCACCACCGCATGGTCGAGCGCATTGCGCACTCGAAGCGGACGTCGGCGCGTGTTGGCATGACGGGCCGCGCCAGCCAAACACCGCATACGCCGCTGCCGCACAGCCCGCGCTTGTCGGGTGGACTGACGCCTGCTGGACAGCGTCTTTGGAGCAACATGGCCGGCGGTGGCGGCAGCAAGACAAAAGATGCGATATCGGCGTTCAATCGGAGCAGGGGCGGGAAGCAGAACAATGCCAAGGGCAGCCGACGGGCAAGATTACGGGAGATCCGGTCCGTGCTCCAGTAACGAGGGGATTGGGCAATGGGCATGAGGAAATGGAACATGGTTTACAGCGGCGCTTTTGTTTTGCATTTTATAAGCATCTCACATAGAAACATATGATACCCAGGGAACTAGCAAATAACAGAAATTTTCGATGCTACATTGACCACGATTTATAAAAGCGAACATGTGGAGACCTATTTTGACATCACTGTAACATTTGGCATTGTTTAAATTCACGTACTCAGTGGTGGCTTTTAGCTTGTCGAACAGGGCCCACTTTTATGTAGATGTCTACCACAAAAATTTCGGGAGCTCGAGAGAGCTTGCGTTGTGCGGGACTATCCGGCTGCGACAACACCCAACATAACAGTCCGCTCGACTCACACCATGCCATTGCCGATGCGGTAACTGCCGCTCTTTTTCTTTTGATTTCTTTGGTGTGGCAGTCATCCTCCTCCTAACTCGCAATGCGCTTCCTCGACCTCGCCGCTGACTTCGCGGCCGTCGTCAGCGCCTCGCGAAACGTCGCCTCGAAGCACGCGGCATTGCGCTCGCGCCAGATTGGTGCATCCTTTGTGCAGAACCCCCGGGATCCCAAGAGACCATCGCCAGAGTCACAGGAGGCACCAAAGCCAGAGGACATACCGGCCGAGGGTGGCGCCACCCCAGCAGAAGCCGACGTGGCGGCTCAAGCATCGCCTGCGTCTGCGTCTGCGTCACCAAGTGAACCAGTGACCGAGAAGCCACCAGTCCCTGCGGTTGCTCCCGTACGTCAAGCTGCACAGGAGATACGGAATCCAGATATCCAAGAACCAGAGACGGCTGGTTCCCCGGAAGAGCCCGTCCTACCGACCTTCATCCACCGTGCCCAGCTGCGTACGTCGAGGCCACCAGGTGCCCTAAATGAGGTCCGGAGGAAGGCTGCCGAGGCTGCGGGTCCGAGCGGAGGTCCATCGAAACTGCACCCTCTGGATCCCCGGCTGAAACAGACTCCACGACCGCCACCAGCTGGCCCCAGTCAGGCTGTGCAGGATGCTCCTGTTGCAGCAAAGGCAAACTCTGTCTCGGCAGCAGTTGCAGAGAGCATAGAACAGGGTGTTTTTAGCAAAAGAGAGGAGCAGCCGCCAAATGAGGACCCTTCCGTCGTCGACACGACTTTGGATGTTGAGGGTATTCCCAAAACTGAGCCCACAGTCGATGCCTCTCCTGGAACAACTCCGGAGGCGGCTCCGCAAGCGGAAGAGTCGCCTGGCACAAGAGCCGAAGAGACACAACAAGCCCTACCGGAAAACGAGACTTTGAAGGCCGAGATACTAGAGACGCCGTCTCTGAGCACAGCTAGAGCTACTCCTCTCGCCTCCATACCCCTACCTACGACGCAGGTAGCAGAGTCCCCAAAGCGGGCCTTTGAGCTGAAGGAGTCCAAGGTGCCGGCCACCCGCCTGAGCCGGATATGGAACTATAGCGGCCTCGCAGCCGGTATGCTCGGCGGCGCTCTGACGGAGTCGATTAGCCGCGGCTTTGGAGGCGGCAGCGGCGACAGCGGGTCGGTCATGTTGAGCCCTGGCAACCTCGAGCGACTCGTGTCGCGGCTCTCCCGCATGCGCGGCGCGGCCCTCAAACTCGGCCAGATGATGAGCTTCCAGGACGCCAAAATGCTGCCCGCGCCGCTGCAGGAGGTCCTGCAGCGCGTCCAGGACAGCGCCGACTACATGCCCGCATGGCAGCGCGACCGCGTGCTGGCGTCCGACCTCGGTGCGGACTGGCGCGATCTGTTTGGCGAGTTCGAGGAGAAGCCGCTGGCAGCGGCGTCCATTGGCCAGGTGCACCGCGCGACGCTGCGCTCCAACGGCGCCGCCGTCGCCGTCAAGATCCAATTCCCGGGTGTCGCCGACTCCATCAACTCGGACCTCGACAACCTGGGCATCCTGCTGACGGCCACGCGCATGCTGCCCAAGGGCCTGTACTTGGACAAGACGATTGCCAATGCGCGCACCGAGCTGGCGTGGGAGTGCGACTACCTGCGCGAGGCCGCGTGCGCACAGCGCTTCCGTCGTCTGCTGGACGACGCACGCGAAACGGGCGTCGACGGCGCTTTCGTGGTGCCCGACGTGTTTGGCGAGGCGTCCGGAAAGCAGGTGCTGACCATGTCCTTTATGGACGGTGTGGGCGTCACCAAGGTCGCGCACGACCTCTCCCAGGAGCAGCGCGACTGGATCGGCACGCAGATTCTGCGCCTGTGCCTGCTCGAGATCACGCAGTTCCACTTTATGCAGACAGACCCCAACTGGACCAATTTCCTGTACAACGCCGGCACCAACAAGCTGGAGCTGCTCGACTTTGGCGCCTCACGCGAGTACCCGGCCGAGTTTGTTGATCAGTACGTCCGTCTGCTGCAGGCAGCCTCGCAGTCCGACCTCGAGGGCGTGCAGGCGCTGTCGCGCGATCTGGGCTACCTGACGGGCCACGAGAGCCGCGCCATGCTAGACGCCCATACGCAGTCGGTCATGACGCTGGCGGAGCCCTTCCGCGCCGACGCGCCGGAGATCTACGACTTCCAGGACCAGACGATCACGGACCGCGTGCGCTCATTCATCCCCGTCATGGTGCGCGAGCGCCTGACGCCGCCGCCCGAGGAAACGTACAGCCTGCACCGTAAGCTCAGCGGTGCCTTCCTACTGTGTGCACGCCTGGGCAGTCGCGTGGCCTGTCGTGGCATGTTTGAGGACAGCCTGAAGAAGATGGGCCTTGCATAAACTCTGTGTTTCGTATACATATACAAATGGTTTTCTTTATTTCTCTGTACTACCATACACGCTGCTCATGCATCATAATGTATTATTATTACACGCCATCAACATGCTATAGAATAAAGTAAGAACACATGAATAGAACGCCAGCCATGTTGAATCATTTGCAGTCTTCGGCCGCACCGCGTTAGCCACGGCGCATGGACGGCATCTCGCGCCGCTCCCGCGTCTGCGCCTTCTTGCGCCGCCGCTCGATGGCCTTGTCGACCTGCTGCTCCGTCATTCCCGCAAACTTGTCCACGAGCAGCCGCTTCTTCTGCTCCGACTTCTTGAGGAAGTAGGGCGTCTTGCCCTCTTTCACCAGCCCCCGCTCCCGCTTCTTGTGCTCGTCCAGCACCGCCTGTGCCTTTTCCTTGGCCTCGCGGTCGTGCTTGCGCGCCTCCATGGACGTCAGCATCCGCCGCAGCGATGCCGCCTCTTTCTCGGCCGCCTCTGCCTTGGCCCGGTTCACCGCGTTGCCGCCGCGCTTCTTGCGTTCTGCCTTGGCAATCCGCTCGTTTTGTGCAATCGCCTCGCGCATCTCCGCCATCTCGCTGTCGCGGTACTCGTCCAAAAACGCATAGTTGCGCTGCGCGCGCAGTTCGTCGGCGCGCGTCGGTGGTGTCGCCATGGACGCCAAGAAGAAGCGCGGGTCGCGCGAGCGCGCCTCGACTGGCTTGACCGAGACACCCGCAATCGTGGCGTCGCCGCTAGTCCAGTCGCGGCCGCGCTTCACAGCGAAACGGCTCGACATTTCTGTCGGTGCGTGCTTGTGGGCTCGGGCCGGCTTGACAGGCTTGGCTGGCTTACCTGAATGGTCGTCTTTCCACGAACTGGCTGCCTCGCCCGTGTCGGCTGCTTTGGATCCAGCTTTGCCGCCGACCTTGTCGATCTTCTTGTCTTTCTTCTTCTTTTGGTTCTTCTTCAAGATCTGGCCAAACGTGAGGTTCTCTGCCGGCGATGGCGCCTCATCCTCGGGAGTTGCCTCTCGGCCAATGTCTTCACCTTCTTCGCCTTCACTTTCTCCCTCTTCAACGTCGTCGATGTCGTCCTCTAGTCTGCCCCGAACAGGATCATCACTCTCGTCGCTCTCGCTCTCCGAAGCCTCCTCAACCTTGACTCGCCGGCCTGCTTTGCTCAGGTCGTTGTCGTACTCGTCACTGTCATCGCCGTCGACAAATTTGGAAGGTTTTGCCCGTACATTCCGTTCAGGAGCAGAGCGGCTGCTCTTTCGTTTTCTCGAATCCATGTTTGAGCGTGTGGTATGGAATGTGGTATTGAACGCGGCTGAATGTGCGTTCAACAGGGCTATGAGACTTTAAGACGTCTTGAACGAAGAGATAGTGTTGTGTGCCCAGTGTTATCTCTTTCCTTTCCTAAAACGCTATTCTCTCACACGGAAGGAGCGTCCGTAAATTTGGTTTCTATTTGGTGATTTGTGATTGAAATTTGATATCGACTATGAGTGGTGTGAAAAAGGAAGGAACAATGGTGCTAGCGCAGCCATCACTGATTTTTAAACTTCTTCATGGAGCAGTTTTCACCGCAGCCTTCTGGTCCACCAGCCAATCACGTTCGCCGGGAACAAGGCTCTGGCAGCCCCTAAAATGTTTCCACTAAAATTTCGAGGCGCATCAACAATATTTTCATTTTGATACTTCAACTGGGTGGCATATTCACAAATCACGCACAATTCATGGTTAACAATTAATTTGCATTAATTTCAGATTCATTTAATTTCTAACCAATTCACACGACGGTCAAATAAAACAAGCTCTCCTATCATCATCCAACCACAACAGGACGCCTCAGGACGCCTCGGGACACCTCAGAACACTTCATTACACTTCAGGTTACATCATACTGTACCATATCCACACTCTCCAGACTCTCCTCAGCGGTCTGCACATAGATTTTCACTTTTCCAGAGGCTGTCATGGGTAGGTCTGCGGCGTATAGGACTCTTCAAAACGCAATACATGGCTTCTCAAGGACAAGAAGGACAACACACACATTGCCTTCGAAAAGTATAAGTCCTTTACTCCCGTCGCTCACCGAACGAACTTTCTCGGCTCAGAAAGTGTTATATAAAAGCAAGTCCTTCAAGTTTGGTCGATCCCAAGTGTTCCCGCAACGAATGGACAATATAGAGACACCGCGGCCGCCCCGGCCCGATATTCAGGAACCATCCGAAGAGTCTGGCGGCGTGCCAGATCCAACTCCCGAGTACCT